AAACCTAGGTCATGTTGATGACAACATAATACTTAAAAGATTCCAGTGGATTGGAAATTACCAAGACACTTCTCAAACATTCAAACACATTTAATACTTCAAAATGTGACATTCTATTAATTAGGAAAATAGTTATTATATAACTATTTTTAAATATTTTTGTTGCTGGGTGCTGTTGATTCAATTCTGAATAGTGTCTTTGTACATCAGAGTAGAACTGCCACATATGATTTTCTAGGCTTTAATGTTTAATGGAATCAATTGTGAGGTCTTTTCTCCTATAGAGTGGTTGGTGGGTCCACACTGCCTACCTTGTGGTTAGCAGTTTAGAGCTTAATAATTATACCACCAACTCTGCTTAAATAGATTTCTGTAAACAAAATATTCTGATATATATTAAACCAAAAAAAAAAAAAAACCTTACTGCTGTTGAGTCAATTGCAACTCATAACGACCCCTCCTTGGGTTTCTGAGGTGGTATCTTTATGGAAGTAGATTGCCAAGTCTTCCTTCCAAGGAGTGGTTGGGGCGTTTGAACTGCCAACCTTCTGGTTAGCAGTCAAATGCCTTAGTTAGGCACTATGCCGCCAGAGCTCCCTGATATATGTTACTAATTATAAAATTTATTAATATTTAAGACATTTAAATCTTAGAGCCCATTTTCCACCAAACATTTTGCCAAGGGCCACCTTCATGTCCCTGTTTCTCAGACTGTAAATGACAGGATTTAGAGTAGGAGGTACCAAGGAATATAAAACAGATATAAAGAGGTTCATTGATGACGGGGATCTTAAGGCTGAAACTATGTATGCAATAATTCCAGAAGAGAGAAACAAGGTCACCACAGTGAGGTGTGGCATGCTAGTAGAGAAAGTTTTGAGCCTGCCTTGATTAGTTGAAATCTTTAAGACAGCAGAGAAAATGTTAACATAGGAAACAATTATTAAAATAAAACATGCAAAAGAAAAACAGCAGCTAGCAATGATAATTGTGTGTTCTAAAATATGCTTCCCAGAACAAGTAAGTGTCAGTAATGATGGAATATCACAGAAGAACTGATGAACTAAGTTAGGCCCACAGAAATTGACAGAGAATGTACCTGCTACATGAATGCATCCATAGATACATCCACTGAGCCATGATGCACTTGCCATCTGCACACAGGCACCTCTGTTCATAATGGTCTCGTAGTGCAGAGGTTGGCAGATGGCAGCAAAGCGGTCATAGGACATGACTATAAGGAGGGCATACTCTGTGCCAGCTAAAAACATAACAAGAAAAACCTGTGCGACACATCCTAGGAAAGAGATGGAATAGCTGTGGGTTAGACAGTTCAAGATTGACTTGGGGACAGTGACAGAAATATAGCATATGTCAATTAAGGACAAATTCCTCAGGAAGAAGTACATGGGGGCTTGGAGGTGCCTGTCAGTAGTGGTGAGGGTGACAATGAGGAAGTTCCCCATCAGTGCTGTCAGGTAAATGAAGAAGAAGAGGACTACATACAGTCTCTGTAACATCCAGTCATCAGGGAATCCCATGAGCAAGAATTCCATTATCATAGTAATATTGGTTATTTTCTGAGGCATGTTGATTCTTGTCTGCAATGACTTACGAAAAATGGCATTTACTGCATTCACTCACATCTTTTGAAACTGCCTCTTTTGTTGGTTCTTTTATTCTATTGTATTCTGAGGAACATTTTTAAGGTCCTCACAGTAGTCTCAGGGAAAGTTACATCCTACAAATTATAATTTTCAACTCACATACAGTAAAATATATTAAGATAATCTTTAAGAGCAGGATAGAAAAATAAACCATTTGGTTGCTTATGTTGTTGTTGTTGTTATGTGTCGTCAAGTAGGACCCAACTCATACTATCCCCTCCTTGGATTTCTGAGGCAGTATCACTACATAAATAGATTGTCCAGTCTTCCTTCTGAGGAGTGGCTGGTGGGTTTGTATCACCAGCCTTCTGGTTAGCAATCAAGTGCCTTAGGCACTATGCTACCAGAGAAATGCATCTTGCACAAATTAAAATCAATACTGGATCATTGACATTTTTTTACAAATTCTTCAAATCAAGGAGATCATATATGAGCCATCTTTGAAGACTGAATTGAGTCCTATACTTATCTGCCCCATTCTTCTCTGACTGTATTAATGGTTTAGAAAGGTCATGTGGCTGCCCTGAGTCTAATAACCACAATTAAAATACAATAATTAACAGGTTAATTATCCAAAGAATAGCAAACATAATCAGGTAAAAGAAATGTAGTTAATTAAATATATACAGAGCTAAAATGAACAGGTCTATTGGACAGGGAAATTTATGAGATGCACATAGGCTTGGGAAAAATCCTCTTACCTAATAGAAATATACCTTCCCTAATTTCAGGTGTCCATTCCTTAAAATGCTGGAGAAATTAAAGTTGAGAATGAAGTTGACAGAGAATAATTTCTCATGCAGTAAGAAAGCCTTGATAAGGCAAATCTTTTGTTCGATAGGAAACAAATTTCTGTTTAAATATTGCTGTTGCTCTGGTTGCCTATGTATTCACTGAGTTGTAGTCTTCTCTCCACTGGGAGGCACATGTTAAAAGCATACTTATATTTCCTGTGCATTTTTGTAAGAATTTAAAATGGACTAATGAGAGTGGGAACTGATTAAGTTTATTGGCCAAGATTCCTGAGGGGAAAATTATTTCTTGAATATACTTCTTTTTTTGCACATGGAAGGTTTGCATACAAAGATTTAGGTCTATTTTGGATTGTTTGTTTACCCAGTAGGGTTTCCTCTTATGAGACCTATTATCATCAACAGTAGAATAATTTGATGTTGTGTTCATTTCCTCAATAGACTCTGTGGACCTTTACATTTAGTGAAAAAATAATAACTTCACAAACTCATTTGGACACAAGTAATCAGCTATTTAAATTTCTTTTGTTATCTGTTTTGATATTACCTTTGTTTTATTTATCATAAGCATAATATAAGTCATTATGTCATACAAAATATTTAAGCTACCAAAAATACACTCTCTAATCCTCCACTCTATTTCCTTTCCCAGGGCAAAATTTTAAAATCTTTTATTGTATTTCTTTTCTTTCATTTTTATGTAAATTTGTGACATAGAACTACAAAAAAAAAAAAAAAATCCATTTCAGAATATAGGAGATCTTTCCGAGCTTTGTTCTACATACTTATTGTTCACTTAATCATTTTTAGGAAACATTTACCAATACAGTTTAAAATATGTTTAATCCTTGCTTTTAAATGTTTGTATGCACTTCAGAACTTGAATAAGCAACATTTTAGAAACTATTCTGATTTTTTCATCTTATAAACAAATTGTGAATGGAATAATAGTATTACATTTTTTTTACATACACACATCTGTTTCTTATAAAAAATTCTTTGAGAGTAGTTAATTGATCAAACAGCTTTGAATTTTTGGTGAATACCACCTATCAGTCTTCCAAATACTGATAACAAATTTGTACTATTACATATAACATTCCATTTTCACCCACATTTGCTGATATAGGAAATTTTTAATTTATTATTATTAAAACTATGGACAAAAATTATCTCCACAGGCAAATAAGATCTTATTTTTATGTCATCAGCAGTCACATTATTACTGGTGAAATATAAAATTGGAGAAAGAGATAGAGATATACTGCTATTGTTGAGCTTACAACATATAGAAATGAAATATATTTTACTAAAACAGGATGAAGGGAGATTTTAGAACAAAGATGTCCTTCAAGGAGCTCTGGTAGCACATTGGCTAAGGCATTTGACTGCTAACCAGAAGGCTGGCAGTTCACACCCACCAACCACTCCTCAGAAGGAAGATTGGACGATCTACTTCCGTAGTGATACTGTCTGGGGAACCAAAGGAGGAATTACTATTTGACAATAACAAGATAAAGTAAGATGTTAGAACAAAAATGTAATTCAAAGTGAAAATAACACCCCTTTTTAATTGAATCTACTGGGAGAAGTTAAGGTAATTAAAGTTAATAAAAATTAGTTAATATAAGAATTTCTATAAATATGCTTTTATCTTCTCTCTGCTTTCTTAAAGTCTATAAAATGCTATAAAATAATAATTATAAAATTGTGTTGTTGAGTACATACACATGTATATCAATGATAGACAAAAAGAGGGGGAGATAGAGCTACACTGGAAAAAACTATAGATTTCACTGAAATTAAGTTACAACCTTAAAGTATACTCCGATAAAATATAATAACTGTTACATCCATTCATATTAACAACTCTCAGCAATCTAGGAATACACTGAAACTTTTTTCAGCTCAGTAAATAATTTGTACAAAAATATTACTACTAACATCATACTTGGTTATGAATGTCACTGCTGACCAAGAGGTTGGCAGATGAACCCATCCAGTGGTTTTATGAGAGGAAGACATGGCAATCTGCTTCCATAAATATTACATTCTAAGAAACCCCTTGAGGCACTCCTACTCTGTCACATAAGGTTACCATGAGTTGAAAGTGACTTGATTGTACCCAATAAATACAATAATTTCATACTTAATGGTGAAAGATTGTATGTTTTCCCTCTAAGTTCAGGAAAAAAGGAAGTATTATTCCCTGTCACTACTCTCATTCAACATTTTACTGGAAGTTCTAGGTAATGAAATGAGTCA